TGTCACAACCGACTAATCTGTACGTCTCTCTCTCTCTCCTGTCATCCAACACAGCCAGCCAGGGCTGGCTGTGTTGGATGACAGGGCGGTTTAGAGTGACATTCCGCTAGTTTGACCGTCCCTTCCCCGAGAAGAGTCATCGGGAAGGCAGGCGAAGGGAGGGATGAGCAAGGCGGGTAGTGGAGAGAAGTTTGTCAGGTCATGTTTTCAGACACTCGGAGAGGGACTGGTGACTGGCTGGCTGCTGGTCCCTGGGGTCTGACCAGAGAGGAACTGGTGGCTAGCTGCTGGTTCCTGGGGTCTGACCAAAGAGGGACAGGTGGCTGGCTGCTGGTTCCTGGGGTCTGACCAAAGAGGGACAGGTGGCTGGCTTCTGTTCCTGGGGTCTGACCAAAGAGGGACAGGTGGCTGGCTGCTGGTTCTTGGGGTCTGACTAAAGAGGGACAGGTGGCTAGCTGCTGGTTCCCGGGGTCTGGCCAGAGAGGGACTAGTGGCCAGGTGGCTGGCTGCTGGTTCCTGGGGTCTGACCAGAGTGGGACTGGTGGCTAGCTTCTGGTTCCTGGGGTCTGACCAGAGAGGGACTGGTGGCTAGCTGCTGGTTCCTGGGATCTGACAGAGAGGGACTGGTTGCTGGTCCCTGGGATCTGACCAGGAACATTGCCACAGGGTATAAAGTCTTTACCCTGCTGTAATTGCAGCTCTCTGCTCCTCTGATTGCTAACAATGACACAGTTGAATCAAAGCTCGCGTCTTGGGCGTGGTCCTTCTTGGAGCTCGATTTGATATGGGGGTAATTGGAGATAATTGGATTCAGGTATGTCAGGTGTGTGGAGATGCCTTTGTCAGGTGTGGAGACGCCTTTGTCAGGTGTGGAGACGCCTTTGTCAGGTATGAGACGCCTTTATCAGATGTGGAGATGCCTTTATGAGGTTTGGAGACGCCTTTATCAGTTGTGGAATGACACTTGTGTGTATCAGGAGTGGTGAGGCTCCTGTGTACTCCGGCTCCGGTAGCAGAAAAACTCTGGAGGCTCAACTGAAGGTGAAGGTACTGAGATTCAAGCAGTTCCACCATAAAGAATTAGACACATGTCCAACATCTGGGTATCTTTATTTGTAGACGTTTCGCCATCCAGTGGCTTTATCAGTACAATACAAAGACATAAGGCGAAGAACTACATACAAAAGATGAGGTAATCAGTCCCTCAGCCTTGGAGTTGGTGAAGAGCACCGTAGTGTTGAAAGAAGTCAGTTCCTTCAAGCAGCACATCCTTCAAGCAGCATATCCTTCAAGCAGCACATCCTTCAAGCATCGCAGGTCACTGTGAAGTTTGTGTATAGACTTGGGACCTTTGGAAACCTGTGGGGGACCTCTCTGGGACCTCTAGGTAACCTCTTCTCTCTTTCAGACTACTACTTAAAGGTACTCCTAAGATTTACACCTCACTGAGTCTACGCTAGCAGCAAGAGATCTTTACATATTTTCCAGCCGCGTTATTCCACCAGCCTTGGCAGTAACAGCCTAGTTGATCAGGCCCTGATCCATCGGGAGGCCTGGTCATGGACCGGGCCGCGGGGGCGTTGATCCCCGAAATAACCTCCAGGTAACCTCCAGGTATATGTGAGCAGGGTAAGCCAGGTATGCCTCTCCACCTTATATACCTTTCCATCTGTAATATACCTTTGATGGGCTTCGAGAGTTTTGTGCTACTCCTTGAGCCTGGTCCTGGGCCCAGGGCCAGGTCTGGACCAGGCTCCTGGGCCCAGGGCCAGGGCTTTCTGCTGCCTGCCAGGTCAACGTGTGTGCTCAACTACTCTCACTTTCAGAGAGATAAATAGTTTAGGGAACCATTTATCTACTGGGGAAACAGAGCTTCATCAGTCCAGTACACAGAAGGATGGGGAAGATCAGGAGGTTGAGGTTATCAGTCCCTCATCCTGGAGTCGAAGTGATCACTCCATCAGTCTTGTCAAGATTAATGGACCATGTGTGAACAAAGTAACTTGTTACTTGATGTGTGAACATTGTTACTTGTTGTATGAACAATGTTACTTGTTGTATGAGCAATGTTACTTGTATGAACAATGTTACTTGTTGTATGAACAATGAACATAAGAACATAAGAACGAAGGAACACTGCAGAAGGCCTACTGGCCCATGCGAGGCAGGTCCAAGTCTCCTACCGGCTTAAGCCAATGCACCCAACCTAGTCAGGTCAGGTCACATTGACTTAAGGGAGGAACACGGCAACCGACCTGGTAGCACAAGCTATCAGGTCTAACTCACACCCACCCACATCTACTCATGTATTTATCCAACCTATTTTTAAAGCTACACAACGTTCTGGCCTCTATAACGGTACTTGGGAGTTTGTTCCACTCATCCACAACTCTATTACCAAACCAGTACTTTCCTATATCCTTCCTGAATCTGAATTTTTCCAACTTAAAACCATTTTCTGCGAGTCCTGTCTAGGCTAGATATTTTCAGCACACTATTTACATCCCTTTATTTATTCCTGTCTTCCATTTATACACCTCAATCATATCCCCCCTAATTCTACGTCTTTCTAGAGAGTGCAGTTTCAGGGCCCTTAGTCTATCCTCATAGGGAAGGTTTCTGATACATGGGATCATCTTTGTCATTTCCCCCTTTGTACATTTTCCAGAGAATTTATATCCATTCTGTAATACGGTGACCAAAAACTGTGCAGCATAATCTAAATGAGGCCTAACCAAGGATGTATAGAGTTGAAGAACAACCTGAGGACTCCTATTAAATTTTTGCTTCTTGATATGAAGCCAAGGATTCTATTAGCTTTATTGCGAACACTTATGCACTGTTGTCTTGGTTTCAGATTACTGCTAACCAGAACTCCTAAATCTTTTTCGCAATCCGTAATATTAAGATCTACATTATTTAGTTTATATGTGGCATGGTTATTGTCCTGTCCAACATTTAGAACTTTGCATTTGTCTATATTAAACTGCATCTGCCACTTCTCCGACCACTGCATCAGTCTATTCAAATCTTCTGGAGTGCTCGAATGTCCTCGTCAGAATGAATTCGACGGCCTATTTTGGTTTCATCGGCAAACTTGCCGATGTCGCTCTTTACGCCCTCATCTATGTCGTTTATGTAGATTGTGAACAGCAGGGGGCCCAACACTGACCCTGTGGAACACCGCTCGTGACGCATTCCCCACTCTGATTTCTCCCATTTATGCAAACTCTCTGCTGCCTATTTGTCAACCATGCTCTATCCAGGAAAAAATTTCTCCTATTCCATGTGCTTTAATTTTCCTCAATAGTCTCTGATGTGGGACCCTGTCAAAAGCCTTACTGAAGTCCATATACACAATATCATATTCATTACCATGATCTACCTCCTCAAATACCTTAGTGAAAAAAGTTAATAAATTCGTAAGGCAGGAACGCCCCTTTGTAAAACATGCTGAGATTCGTTGATTAATTTATGCTTTTCAAGATGGCTACGAACTGCTCGGCAATTATTGATTCCATAAATTTTCCCACTATGGAGGTTAGGCTTATTGGTCTATAGTTCGAAGCTAAGGACCTGTCACCTGTTTTGAAAATAGGTATCACATTTGCCATTTTCATTATCTGGCACCATGCCAGTTTGTAGTGATATGTTGAAAAGATTAGCAAAGGTGTGCTAAGCTCCTCTTTACATTCCTTTAGAACCCTTGCATACAGTTCATCAGGGCCTGGGGATTTGTTAGGTTTTAATTTATCTATTTGCCTAAGGACCTTTGTCCTTGTGACCCTAATAGTGCACAGTTTATTATCGTCCTGTTCTACATAATTTATCATTACTGGAATATCGCTGGTTTATCCTCCTGTGTAAAAACTGAGAGGAAGTATGTTTTTAAAAATTCTACACTTTCCTTTTCACTGTCAGTGAGCTGACCCGAGGAACTTTTGAGTGGGCCTATCTTGTCCCTGATCTTATTCTGTATCCCTGAAAGAATCCTTTTGGGTTGTCTTCGATTCTTTTGCAACTTTAACCTCATAATCTCTTTTTGTTTTTCCCTAATTCCCTTTTTATTTCTCTCTTTAACTGAATATATCGATTTCTTAATTGCCCCTCTCCTCTTTTGATTTGCCTATATATGCCTCTCTTTTGACCAATCAGATATTTTAATCTATTGTTCATCCATTTAGGATCATTTTTGTTACTTGTATGAACAATGTTACTTGTATGAACAATGTTACTTGTTGTATGAACAATGTTACTTGTTGTATGAACAATGTTACTTGTTGTATGAACAATGTTACTTGTTGTATGAACAATGTTACTTGTTGTATGAACAATGTTACTTGTTGTATGAACAATGTTACTTGTTGTATGAACAATGTTACTTGTATGAACATTGTTACTTGTTGTATGAACAATGTTACTTGTTGTATGAACAATGTTACTTGTTGTATGAACAATGTTACTTGTTGTATGAACAATGTTACTTGTATGAACAATGTTACTTGTATGAACAATGTTACTTGTATGAACAATGTTACTTGTTGTATGAACAATGTTACTTGTATGAACATTGTTACTTGTTGTATGAACAATGTTACTTGTTGTATGAACAATGTTACTTGTTGTATGAACAATGTTACTTGTGTATGAACAATGTTACTTGTATGAACAATGTTACTTGTTGTATGAACAATGTTACTTGTTGTATGAACAATGTTACTTGTTGTTAACTATTTTCTTGTTGAAACAATGTTACTTGTTGTTTATGACAAGTTACTTGTTTGAACATGTCCTTGTATATGACATTGTTACTTGTTGTATGAAAAATGTTACTTGTTGTATGAACAATGTTACTTGTTGTATGAACAATATTACTTGTATGAACAATGTTACTTGTATGAACAATGTTACTTGTGTGAACAATGTTACTTGTATGAACAATGTTACTTGTTGTATGTACAATGTTACTGACCTGACTGACTCTTCTGTTCATCCTCCAGACTTGGTTCTTCACTGACACTGACGATGCTGAGTACCAACACAAAACAGGTGAGTCATGTTGACAGGTGAGTCATGTTGACTGGTGAGTCATGTTGACTGGTCAGTCATGTTGACTGGTGAGTCATGTTGACTGGTGAGTCATGTTGACAGGTGAGTCATGTTGACTGGTGAGTCATGTTGACTGGTGAGTCATATTGACTGGTGAGTCATGTTGATTCATGAGTCATCAGAATTCGTAAAAATTGAAACACCGTCACCAGTACTGGGTCACCATCAACAACACCAGGTCACCACCACCAGTTCTAGGTCTCCAATATCAAAAGTACTAGGTCACCATCACCAGTACTTGGTTCACCATCACCAGTACTTGGTCACCATCACCAGTACTTGGTCACCATCACCAGTACTAGGTCACCATCGCCAGTACTAGGTCACCATCACCAGTACTTGGTTCACCATCACCAGTACTTGGTCACCATCACCAGTACTTGGTCAGCATCACCAGTACTAGGTCACCACCACCAGTACTAGGTCACCATCACCAGTACTTGGTTCAATATCACCAGTACTAGGTCACCATCATCAGTACTTGGTCACCTCACCAGTACTAGGTCACCATCACCAGTACTTGGTTCACCATCACCAGTACTAGGTCACCATCACCAGTACTTGGTCACCATCACCAGTACTAGGTCAACATCAACAGTACTTGGTCACCATCACCAGTACTTGGTCACCATCACCAGTACTAGATCACCATCACCAGTACTAGGTCACCATCAACAGTACTTGGTTCACCATCACCAGTACTAGGTCACCATCACCAGTACTTGGTCACCATCCCCAGTACTAGGTCACCATCACCAACACTAGACCAATATCACCAATACTAGGTCACCATCACCAGTACTTGGTCACCATCACCAGTACTAGGTCACCATCACCAACACTAGACCAATATCACCAATACTAGGTCACCATCACTGTCATGTGGGTTTCGATAACGTGAATGGGGTAAGAATACTCACGTAGGCTGGTAGTACGTATAATATAACAGAAAGTATGGGGAGCACCAACAGCCGACCTGTCTCTCTCTGCTTCCTACTACGACCAACCCATAGTGCCTACGGGTGAGGGTGTTTGAAATCCTGCTATGGTCAGCAGCAATATGAATACAGTCAATGATTCACACAGACGGTTGGTAGTGAGTCATCTACTGGTACACTGGTTACTGGTAACTGGTTACTAGGAACTGGTACTACTACTGAGATCACCAGTACTAAGTCACCATCACCAATACTAGGTCATCACCAGTACTAGGTCACCATCACCAATACTAGGTCACCATCAAAAGTACTTGGTCACAATCATCAGTATTAGGTCACCATCACCAACACTAGGTCAATATCGCCAGTACTAGGTCACCATCACCAGTACTTGGTCACCATCAATATTAGGTCACCATCATCAGTACTTGGTCACGATCACCAGCACTAGGTCACCATCACCAATACTAGATCATCACCAGTACTAGGTCACCATCACCAGTACTTGGCCACCATCACCAGTACTAGGTCACCATCACCAGTACTTGGTCACCATCACCAGTTCTAGGCTGCCAATATCACCAGTACTAGGTCACCATCTCCAGTACTTGGTTCACAATCACCAGTACTAGGTCACCATCACCAGTACTTGGTCACCATCACAGTACTAGGTCACCGTCACCAGTACTTTGTCACCATCGCCAGTACTAGGACACCATCACCAGTACTTGGTCACCATCAGCAGTACTAGGTCACCGTCACCAGTACTTGGTCGCCATCACCAGTACTAGGTCACCATCACCAGTACTTGGTCACCATCACCAGTACTAGGTCACCGTCACCAGTACTTGGTCACCATCACGAGTAATAGGTCACCATCACCAGTACGTGTTCACCACCAGTACTAGGTCACCATCACCAGTACTAGGTCACCATCACCAGTACTAGGTCACCGTCACCAGTACTTGGTCACCATCACCAGTACTTGGTCACCATCACCGGTACGAGATCACCATCACCAGTACTTGGTCACCATCACCAGTACTAGGTCACCGTCACCAGCACTTGGTCACCATCACCAGTACTAGGTCACCATCACCAGTACTTGGTCACCATCACCAGTACTTGGTCACCATGACCAGTACTAGGTCACCGTCACCAGTACTTGGTCACCATCACCAGTACTTGGTCACCATCACCAGTACTTGGTCACCACCACCAGTACTAGGTCACCATCACCAGTGCTAGGTCACCATCACCAGTACTTGGTCACCATCACAACACTAGGTCACCATCACCAGTACTTGGTCACATCACCAGTACTTGGTCACCATCACCAACACTAGGTCACCATCACCAGTACTAGGTCACCATCACCAGTATAGGTCACCATCACCAATATTAGGTCACCACCAGTATTAGGTCATCATCACCAGTACTAGGTCACCATCACCAGTACTAGGTCACCATCACCAATACTAGGTCACCATCACCAATACTAGGTCACCATCACCAGTGATAGGTCACAATCACCAGTACTTGGTCACCATCACCAGTGATAGGTCACAATCACCAGTACTTGGTCACCATCACCACCACTAGGTCACCATCACCAACACTAGGTCACCATCACCAACACTAGGTCACCACCATCAGCACTAGGTCACCATCACCAACACAAGGTCACCATTAACACTAGGTCACCATCAACACTAGGTCACCATCACCAACACTAGGTCACCATCAACACTAGGTCACTATCACCAACACTGGTCCACCATCACCAACACTGGGTCACCATCACACCAGTACTTGGTCACCATTATCATACTAGGTCACATCACAATACTGGTCACTAACACTAGGTCACCATTATCAACACTAGGTCCTCATCACCAGTACTTGGTCACATCACAAGTACTTGGTCACCATCAACAGTACTTGGTCACCATCACCAACACTAGGTCACCATCACCAGTACTAGGTCACCATCACCAGTACTAGGTCACCATCACCAATATTAGGTCACCATCACCAGTATAGGTCATCATCACCAGTACTAGGTCACCATCACCAGTACTAGGTCACCATCACCAACACTAGGTCACCAACACTAGGTCACCATCACCAACACTAGGTCAGCACCATCAACACTAGGTCACCATCATCAACACTAGGTCACTATGACTCACGAAATCGTAATGACACGATTGCAAACAAACCATACCCCGGCCGGGATTGAACCCGCGGTCAGAGAGTCTCAAAACTCCAGCCCGTCGCGTTTGACGAATCTCATTGTGGCTAGCTGGTCAAGTGGCTAAGGCGACGGTCTGGAGTTTTGAGACTCTCTGACCGCGGGTTCAATCCCGGCCGGGGTATGGTTTCTAGGTCACTATCACCAACACTAGGTCACCATCACCAACACTAGGTCACCATCACCAATACTTGGTCACCATTATCAACACTAGGTCACCATCACCAACACTAGGTCACCGTCAACACTAGGTCACCATTATCAACACTAGGTCACCATCACCAACACTAGGTCACCGTCAACATTAGGTCACCATCATCAACACTAGGTCACCATCACAAACACTAGGTCACCACCATCAACACTAGGTCACCACCAACACTAGGTCACCATCACTAACACTAGGTCACCGTCAACACTAGGTCACCATCACCAACACTAGGTCACCATCACCAGTTCTAGGTCACCATCACTAACACTAGGTCACCATCACCAGTATTAGGTCATCATCACCAGTACTAGGTCACCATCACTAGTACCTAGGGTCACCCATCACAATACATAGGTCACCATCACCAATACTAGGTCACCATCACCAATACTAGGTCACCATCACCAACTAGGTCACATCACAACTGGTCACCATCACCAACACTAGGTCACCATCAACACTAGGTCACCATCAACACTAGGTCACCATCACCAACACTAGGTCACCATCAACACTAGGTCACCATCAACACTAGGTCACCATCACCAACACTAGGTCACCATCAACACTAGGTCACCATCAACACTAGGTCACCATCACCAACACTAGGTCACCATCATCAACGCTAGGTCACCATCACCAACACTAGGTCACCATCAACACTAGGTCACCACCAACACTAGGTCACCATCACCAACACTAGGTCACCATCATCAACACTAGGTCACCATCACCATCAATAGGCCACCACCATCAACACTAGGTCACCATCACCAACACTAGGTCACCATGAACACTAGGTCACTATCAACACTAGGTCACCATCACCAAACACTAGGTCACCATCATCAACACTAGGTCACCATCACCATCACTAGGCCACCATCATCACCAACACTAAGTCACCATCACCAGCACCATCTACTCTTAGTACCACCTCCATACAACAGTTTTGTTGAGTTACTCCTAACATCTTCTCGTCTGCACTGCAAACAATTGTTTACCATCATAATGACACTAAAGTTATCTTATCGTTACAAGTATTGACTGATGTTGTAGTAGCCAGACTTAGGCTTGGTTACAAGTACTGACTGATGTTGTAGTAGCCAGACTTAGGCTTGGTTACAAGTACTGACTGATGTTGTAGTAGCCAGACTTAGGCTTGGTTACAAGTACTGACTGATGTTGTAGTAGCCAGACTTAGGCTTGGTTACAAGTACTGAATGATGTTGTAGTAGCCAGACTTAGGCTTGGTTACAAGTACTGAATGATGTTGTAGTAGCCAGACTTAGGCTTGGTTACAAGTACTGAATGATGTTGTAGTAGCCAGACTTAGGGTTGGTTACAAGCACTGACTGATGTTGTAGTAGCCAGACTTAGGCTTGGTTACGAGCACTGACTGAAGTAGTGGCCAGACTTAGCCTTGGTTACAAGTACTGACTGATGTTATAGTAGCCATACTTAGGCTTGGTTACAAGTACTGATTGATGTTGTAGTAGCTAGACTTAGGCTTGGTTACAAGCACTGACTGATGTAG